GTGTGCATGCATGTCATATTCTGAAGGTCACACACACACACACACACACACACACACACACACACACACACACGGCTCCGTCTCAAATAGAGTCTCAAATCCGTGTTTTTCTCTCGTCTCCTGAGCGCGCGCGAGCAGGTAGTAGCGCACTAGCTAACGCAAGCTAACGAAAATAACGCGGATATCACGAAAACGGGATCGGCGAAAGACGTTAAAGGCGCTTGAATTACACGACGGATGTTATTAGAGGCGCACCGACAGCAAACGCGCGTTTAACGCGAGCGAGTTTGAGGAGTCTCTCAGACCGGAAGCGGTTAGCAGCAGGTTAGCATGAGCTCCTCACACACTTCACTCGGTTAATATCGAGCGATATTTGAGAGTTATGCTGTTAAGCTCATCGTGTCCGTCTAAAACCTCATCTGCTGCCAGTCTCTACACTTCTAGAAAGTACTGTGTGGACTCGTACCATGCTACTTCTCTGTGTGTTTGCAGTCAGATTGCTAACTAATGTCGGAGCTGGTTAGTTAAGTTCTGTCTGAACTACTAGTGACCTTTACTAGTATTACTAGTCCTGGTTTTACACTTTTCACCTCAGCAGGGACATTGCTCATCAATAACTCAATCAAATAAAACACTTACTAAAAATGAAATATTTTATTTATTTACATTATTTGTTTGATGTAATCTAATTAGAATTTAGTAAGCTGTATTTTCGTTTTTACGTTTTAAATAATTTTAATTGGGCATTTTATGATTTGATTAAGTTTTAGTGTTTTATTTTGATAACCACTTACTAAAACTTAAATTATAAAATTAAATTATTTTGCATCCTATCATTAAATTAATATTTACCAAGTACGTTATTTAGATTTTTGTTTTATTAATTAATTTAATATTTATTTAGATTTTTAATTTGAAAAGTATCAAAATAAACCACTTACTAAAAAACTTAAATTATTAAATTAAATGTGTAATCTTGCATCCTATCATTAAATATTTACTACGTGATTTGTTTGTTTTATTATTTATTTTAATTTAGCATTTATTTTTGATTATTTTAATTTGAAAAGTGTCAAAGCAAACCACTTACTAAAACTTAAATTATATATATATTTTAAATTTCGCATCCTATCATTAAAAGAATATTTACTAAGTGATTTATTTTGATTTGTTTGTTTATTATTATTATTTAATTTAGCATTTTTGATTGTTTTTATTTGAAAAGTATCAAAATGAGCCACTTGCTAACACTTTATTAAACTATAAAATGCAAAATTATAATGAAAAAATAAAACCTATTTTCATTTTGCAATTTAAAATTCACGGTTTAATTTTGAATTTTTAAAAAAGTTATTCATTGTTACATTGTTGCATGTTTTGATGTAATACATTTTTAGTAGGCTAAGTGTTTTATCTCGTATTATTTAAAGTTTTAAGTGTTATGATGTAGTTTTGATGAGATTTGTTCGTGAATAACTGAGTCTGAATGAATCATAACTGCCCGAGGCACTTTGTTGGTTTGATTCGATTAATGATGGATACAGACGCAGCACAGGCTGGTATTGGTGACCTCTGACCCTGAAACACACGTTTAGACTCCGTAAGGGACTCGAGAGCTTTTCAGGCATGAGTTATGGTTTGCATATAAACATCTTTTCATGGTGTGTGTGTTCAGCACGACAGCAAACCTCTGAGTTAAAACATTTACTGAGATTTGACTTCAATATTTCAATAATATAGCAGCAGCACATTCATATGTTCATGGCTCTCAGATGTCGGTTAATGGACACATGACATGTAGGTAAACAAATAAAATATTACATATTTTTTTAGTAATTGGATTATTTTAATAGTTTTTTTTTTAAGATTAATGTAATTTTTGTTTGTTTTTATTTTTAAATTATTTTAATTGGATCTTTTGTGACTTTTAGTTATAGTTTATATTTTTGATGATTTTTAAAGGAAATTATTTTACATTAGATTTGAGTAAATTTGATTTTGATGGTTTTTATTTTAAAATTATGTTTTAATATTGTGCAGTTTTATGGTTTAATTTTTAGTTAGTGTTTTTTATTGATTTGTTTTCATTGTAAAATTAATTATTTATTTAGATTTTATGTTTTACAACTTTTTAGAAGTTAATTTTTTATTTACAAGATTTTATTTTAATTATTGATTTTGATTTTACATTTTTTAAATTCATTAACTTAATTTTTTTTATGGTTTAAAAACTTTTTAAAAAATCTTAAAGTTTCATTTATTTAGATTTTATGATTTATTTTTATATTTTTTTGTGTGATTTCTATTCATTTAAACTTTTTATGGTTTAATAACCTTTAATAATAAGTGATTTATTTTGAAGAGTTTTTACAAATGATGAATTGATTTAGACTTTATTCAGTTTTAGTAAGCTTTATTTTGATGGTTTTTATTTTAAAATGAATTAGTTTACATTTGTATGATTTAATGAATTATTAACTATTTGCATCACATCACAAACCCTGTTGGGAAACCCTGCAAGATTGTACAAAACTATCTTAAGTTTTGGAAGTCAGATAATGAGTCAAATAAATGTCAGAGCTGATAATGACTTCCTGTCATACTGGAAATGAAGGTCAGGTCAAGCACATTGCATTGTGGGATGTCACACGTCCGCAGGATTTGAATGATTTCTCGTCGTGTGTTTCAGATTCAGGCGCAGAAGGTCCGGTTGGCCAGAACTCAGGGCCCGTATTATGGCGGATCTCTGCCCAACGTCAACCAGATCGGCAGGAGCGCCTCAGAGCTGCAGGTGTGTGTGTGTGTCTCCAGACGCATCCACAGCAGCTCATTACGGCTCGTGTAAACCCGTGTGTGTGTGTGTGTGTGTGTGTGTGTGTGTGTGTGTGTGTCAGGGCTCGTTTCACTCTCCGCTGGACTCCAGTCGCTCCACGAGGCATCATGGTCTGGTGGAGCGGGTTCACAGAGACCGACGCTTCATCTCTCCCAGCAGACCCTACAGGAGACAAGTATCCTTCCCTGGCCGTCTCTCCTGCAGGTTTGTGTGTGAATGGAGTTATCATCATGATGCCGTCGATGTCCTTGACCTCTGACCTCAGATGGACAGCTCTCACAGCAGCTCTGTGTATCTGTCTCCGCCCCCTGACCCCAGCTGGAGAAGGTAACGTGCTCATTGGTTCAGACTCATGTCATGTGTGTGTGTCTGTGAGTGTGTGTCTGTGAGTGTATGTGTGTGTGTGTGAGAGAGTGAGAGTGTGTGTGTGTGAGAGAGAGAGAGAGAGCGAGAGAGAGAGAGTGTGTGTGTGTGAGAGAGAGAGAGAGAG